GGAATTTAATTCTCCATCGAACAGCATTGGTTTCATTCCTTAATGTTAATTAGGAGGGGAGAGACGATTTTTTAATTAGCGGGCGAATTAATGGGGAAGCGCTCTGCGCCGAGAAACCATATTGAGTTTTTCATAGCGCCGCGAATTTCGTCGCAGTTTTTATTTTTTTATTACAGAGATTAAGGAATGAAGCGGGGGTTGAAGGATGGGGAATTTAAGTCTCCATCGAACAGCATTGGTTTCATTCCTTAATGTTAATTAGGAGCAGAGATACGATTTTTGAATTAGCGGGCAAATTATTGGGGAGTCACTTTGCGCCGAGAAAACATTGGGTTTCTTATAGCGCCGTGACTTGCGTCGCAATATTAATTTTTTTATTGCAGAGATTAAAGGATGAAACGGGGGTTGATGGATGGGGAATTTAATTCTCCATTGAACAGTCTTTGTTTCATCCCTTAATATTAATTAGTCGGCGAATAAATCGACTGAAAAACATAAAGTAAACATTGAGTATAAGGAGGACAAAAGCCCCCTCCGAACCTGTCCCTATCACAGCGGGACTGCTACTGCCGAGTTACTCACACACCCGACTCACATTTACCAACAGTTCGACCGGGACGCCGCCTTTCCCGTGGGGTACCAACTAACATGTTTGAAGTCAGTCAAACTCCCCGATTCGGGCCTCTACTCAGGTCTATCCTCTTTGTTGTGTACTGTCAGATGAGGTGAAAATGGCCTCCAGTGTATTGCGTTATTGTTTGTGTGCTGAGAAAATGGGCACACGATTGTTGTTAACAAAATCTATTCAGCAGCTGCAGAATCCCCAAAAGTAAGTACATATTTTTCACCAAAATTTATCCGGAAAATTCCAATACCATCAACATTCGGGAAACCTAACCTCATTTTAGTTTTACATAACTATTAATTTCGAATATTTTTTTAACTGAATAAAAATAATGATGTTCTTGGAATCGAATAACAATTTTCAATTATTACTATTGAACAATAATTTCATATTCTCATCATAATCCTAAAAATAAAGGAAATCATTTTTTTTCTCCACATTGCAATAATTATTCTATTGTAGGGGAGGGTGGGGTAAAATGGACACTTCAGACTTTTTTAAAATTATTCATAACTCAGAAACAAATTTATCAATTGAGCTCAGTTTAGGCTCGTCACAAAGGGGAAGAATTGTTCTTTATATTGAAAAAAAAAGTTCTTGAATTTTATCCACATTTCAACCCCTCGTTAACATTAAAAAAAAATCAAAAGTGTCCGTTTTACCCCAACCTCATTGTTCTAAGTATTCTTGAATATTTTTTTGACATAATTATGTATTACACACAGTGGAGTTCCTTCATTTTTTCATACATTGAATGATTTGCATTAAGATCTTGTCGACAGAAATTATAATTCTTATGTTCTCACTACACGATATACATATTGACGTATCCGAAGTAGAAATGTACCATACGAATTAGACATTGTGCGATCTGAATTGCACATTGTATAACACGGTACAACAAAATAAGGTCAAGTTTTTTACCAAAGATGAAATTTACACCACTTATAGATTTTTGCACGCTGAATTCAACGGTTTTTGCAAAATTCTTCTAGCACGTCAGGTTTTAGAGAAAAAAAATGTTAAAGTTGTGAAATTTGTCAAAAATGAACTTTTTCAAAAAATTCTCATTCAATGAATTTTTGACAGAATTAAATGGAAAAAAATAGCAGAGTATAGTTGAAAAATTATTTTATCGGTTAGAATAAACCTCTTCCAATTCCGCGGCGTGATTCCGCTGCAAAAAAACCCTAAAATTCATAAATTTGGTTGAATTAACTGTTGATTACGTGAACTCTCGGAAGTTGGCTTCGTATATATTTCTAACCCCCTGGAATTTATTCAATAACGTGCTTATGCACGTGGTTAACCCCGCGGAATTTATTCCACGTGCTTATGCACGTGGTTATTTTTTTAAAGGCTCTAGGTTATAAAAAAGAACTGTGAGAAGGTTTTTGAGTGGACTTCTCAGTTTGAAGTAATATAGGCCGCCTTTTAAGAGAGAAATTGTGAATCCGGGAACTACCGTTGGGAGGTTGGAACGTGAAATGCGAGGTATTTTCTTTCTATCACCTATTGGAGGATTGCTCTCACCCACATTTGCGTCCATTTACTATTTTATTCATCATAAGGTCTTACTGCATAAATACGATGAGGACCCACGAAGCCCCCAGGATGACAGTTCCATGTCCCTCATAGTTTATATCCCCTGGATTGGTTCAGCAGACATGCCGACTTACTTCCCAAATTTTCCCTTTTTCTGAATTTAATTTCTATCAACAATATCTATTCTAGGATTTCTGTTCATAGTTTGTATGTCTCTAACTTCATTTTTTGTATGTAATTCAATTTATTACTCGAGAAATTACCGTTATATTTTGAAAAGAAATTCTCTCATAAAGAAATGAATACTTTTGTATGTATTTCATCAAATGAAGCCTCAGGTTTGCACGGTGACCCATCAAAATTCATCAAAATCGCATCAGAGTGATGAATGCTAGTGTACCATCAGGATAGAATTTGAGAGTACATTAGGGTGAAGTTTCAAAAATAGCTATAAAGCATAAGCAAAAGTAAAAGTAAGCATCAAAGTAAAGAATAAGAGTAAAGTCAAGGATAAGAGTTGAGCAAAGGGGTTTTGCATTTAATCACAGAAGAAGAAGAAACGAGTTTTGAACATTGAATATGAAAAATTGTCATCAACAAGTTTTTCGTCGTTTTACAGTTTCAGCGTTCTGAAAAGAGATCCTGTAGGATTTGCGTTTGTGCTCCGTATCATCATCGCTCATTAAACTCCAGCAATAATCTCCCAACATATGGAGTATGGACTTTCCTTGATATCGCTTTTCCATTGTCGCGATGCCCTGGTGGAATCGTTCTCCGTGTTCTTCGCTGACGTCGACTAGCTTCTCCGGAAAAAAATCTAGATGGGAATGTAAGAAGTGAATTTTCAGAGACATGTTAATCCTCATTTTATGAAAATTCACAAGCATCTGTTGCACAATTCGTCGGTAGTGATGTGAACGATGGCTTCCAAGGAACTCAGACAAGACCTTCTTCAGTGAGCGCCATGTTTTCAGCTCAATCTGATTCAGGGTTTTCTCGAAATCTTTAGCATTTTCAATTAACTTGCGGATTTGTGGGCCAACAAAAACTCCTGCTTTAATTTTGGCGTCACTCAATTTTGGAGAGAGTTTTTAAGTAGGCAAATGCTGGTCCGTCCTTCTGGAGTCTTTTCACGAAGCTCGATATGAGTCCAAGTTTTATGTGCAAAGGAGGTAAACAGATTTTCTCTGATTCAGTGAGTCGCTCCCCAACAATATTCCGATTACCAGGGATGAATTCATCGCGTCGCGGCCATTCTTTAGTTTTATAATAGTTCTCCCTGTCCCGAGTGTCCCAATGGCATAGAAAGCAGCTGTATTTTGTGAATCCTAGTTGCATCCCCATGACGAGTGCGACCATCTTCAGATCAGCACAGATAAGCCACTTGTATTCCCTGTACTGAATCTTATCAAGGAGGAGTTGCACGTTTGCATGGTTCTCTCCCAATGACGTAGAGTACGCAGCAGGCACAGAAGGGTAAATATTGCCAATGTGAAGGAGTACAGCCTTTAAACTGGTGCGAGAGGAATCGATGAAGAGGCGCCAAGCCTCTGGATGATGATCATGCCCCAGACTTTTCATAAGGCCATCCACATTGGAGCAATAGAAAAGCTCTTCCTCTTCCATGAAATACTCACGAAAGGTCTGATCTCGATGACGGAAATGGCTGGTAGTAACCCTAGGTTCTAAGACGTTGAATTATTTGAGAACCGAACCCATATACTCCGATCTTCCCTTCGTGAGGTTCAAGTCCCTAGCAAGATCATTCAGCTGCCCTTGGGTCATGAGACCTGGTTTCACTAACACCGGTGGTACTTCTTCTATGTAATTTTCATCTTTGGAAATGTCTTCTGTGTCGTCTGTGTCGGTGCACACAGGTGCTTCTGCAGCAACAGGCGTGTCCACCGATGTTGTATCCTTCTTCCCTTGAAATACAGGTACCATCGCCGAAAATGATGGTGGATCCAATGATTTTACGGTTGGATATTGGAGACTCTTCTTATTTTTACGAGAATATCCGTATGTGTTTGCCAAGCAAAAATAACAGTCTGTGATGTGATCATACTGTTCTCTCCATATTGCTGGGACGTTGAACGCAAGTTTCATCTCCCTGGTTTTCACTGATACCTGTAGCAGGACGCGACAAGAGCAGCAGCACATTGATGCAGTCCAGGGTTTGTCCTGGTTACACATGGATCGGCTGAACACGATGTCATAGGCTTCCTTCACAGCAGGGGTGATATTTCTCCTCTGTGATGTAGAGATGAATTGTGCACAAACCTAACAGAATGAATCGGGTGAGTTTTTACATTTTCGCGACATTTCTAAGGAAATTGCGAACTGTTAGAGAAGACAGTTCAATCCTGAAGTTGCTCATGGGTTTCACCCCGAAATTCTTCTGTTAAATTGGATGGAACGAATGTGGAGTGACGACAAAGGTCAAGCGGAAGGGTTGAGATTACAAAGGTCAAACGCAAAAGACAAGTCAGTCGATGGCTAGGGTCTTGAAATCTTGTAATCAAGGTTTGTAATCTCTCCATTTGCCCCTTTCGCTTCCCTCCTACCATCACTCTAGTCATCTCTCCACTCGCTCCACTCATCTCTCCTGCTTGACTTCTATGAATTTTTCTGTTCCTTCCCTATCTGCCATCAATTCTCTGGGATGAAGTTATCAAAATACACAACTTGTCAACTAAGGAATTTTTCCAGCCCTCTTTCGATTGTAGTGATGCCGCGAGACGCGAGAGAAACGAGACGAGACAAAAGACATAACGAGACAAGAAAATTTATTTCAGAAACTTGATTTACTGTAATTTTTTGCGCAGAAAATTAATTTGACAATAGGAAATAAAGCTAGTGACACACACACACGATCAAAAAAATTCAGGGATGATTCCAGCCGATGAAAATTCTGTGTCAGGAGGGGAGTCAAGTTGAAAAGTAAATTTGCATGACCAACGAAACAGTCCAGAAGCCGCATAAACGAAGAGGGATATGGAACTGTCATCCTGGGGTCTTTGGGGATCCTCCAAATAGAAAATAAAATAAAATAGTGAATGTAAGCCAATTTTACGCTGGATGATAGAGAGAAAATACCTCATATTCAACGTTTCAACCTCCCAATGGTAATTCCAGAATGACGATTTTCCTTTCAACCGGCGACCAATATCAATCCCAACTGAGAAATTCATTAAAAACCTCCTCACAGTTTATTATTACTCACCATAACCGTGAGTCTTTGCAAAAATAACCACGTTATTTCGCGTTATTTTCACGTTTTCTCGGACGCTGCCAACGTTGTAATTTGATTCTCCGACTTTATAATGTGAATCGCGAGAATATGAATATCAGCCCAGTGCTATGTAATTAAGGAAAATTTTCCGATTTGTCGTCCCATTTTTACTATAACGAATGTCGATCATTTAGAGGTAGTGGAGGGGGAAGTTCTGTCGTGTGTAGATATGCGCTGCGCTCGGCCAGATGTTCTGTACAGTCGGTGTCAAAATTTGTTTTGGCCGATACGTTGCCGCGTATCTCGATTTCTAGCTGTGTAATTTATTGTTTGCAATTTGATAGGTTGGTAGAATTTGAGCATGTAGAATTCAAGGAAAACAAAATCTACCAGCCCAAGTTTTATGAATTTTATTTTTTTCTTAAATTGCACAACCTTAAATTATAAACGTCGAATTGGGCACAAAACATTAAACATTCACTAATTTGAATTCTACAATGTGGAATTTACATTGCGCAATGTGCAATTGAGATGGCACATGACAATTTTGTAGAATTCAATATGTAAATCCTGTATATAGAATTTGTAAACATCATTCGTGTCAAAGAATGAAGATCTCCATTGTGCGTAAGCCCTCTAAAAAAAATCGAGTGCTTACACAGGAAAAGGGGCACAAGTTAACGGCCAGGGAAAATTTCCAGTGCTGGTCATGGAATAGTACATTTCATGCCCGAGCCTTGGAAAACAGATCATCCCCCCCCATGTGCAAGATTGCCTTCTGAGCCGAAGGCGTGGATGGCAAGCACGTAGGGGGGGGGGGGGGATATGTTTTCCATGGCGCGGTGTGTATATTAATTTTCCGGTCCCGCAACACGAAAATTTTATTGGGAAGCACGTTAATTTTTGCAGAAACAGCACTTGAATTTTTCATAGTCACTAAATTGTTTTGTCACTAAAACTCTTTTTCCGTATTAGCACTACGATTTTTTGAAAGGTTTTCTCCATATGTCTTTTATTAATTCTGTTGGAAGATGGTACTCAATTGGTTACGAATATTAATTAATATTAACTATTCAATATTGGTCAGAAAATTGTCAGTTGGCACTGGAAAATATGCCGAGAAACGAGAGATAGTGACTTACGATTTGGACGTGGTGAACATATCTCCAGAAGAGATTGAACGCCAACGTACCACGAGAGGTCTTATTGAGGTCAGTGATAAAGAGGATATATCGATAGTTTCCGGTGTACCTGAGGAGCACATAAAAACTAGGACTGTTCGTATTTATCAGCCAGCAAAGAATGCCATGCAGTCTGGAACCAATAACATCAATTTTTGGCAAATTGATTTCGATACACGAGAACGCTGGGAGAATCATTTGATGGGTTGGAGCTCAACGTTAGTATTTATATTCGCACAGAACACAAAAATAATAATAAATTCAATAAATATACTGCCCGAGAGAAAAATTTAGGCCTCTTGGTAGGAATTGCTGTAGCTGACAGAAAAGTTTGAACAATGCAGGAGAATGATCATATAAATAGTCCTAATTCATGTATACGGACCATTTCACCAAATATCGGCTTCAAAATTTTCCGTTTTTTTGTCCTTTATGTATTACTTATGTATCGAAAATTTTACTTCTCCGGTAGAAGAGGCCCTGTGCTTCAATTAATAGAGATGAGCATACTTTTGCAATTTCGTCTAAAAGCTTTTCCATTGAGTTAAACGTACGAAAAAAAGCTTGAAAAAACATTGAAAATATAGTTTTGTATCGGAAATTTGCGGAATTTTCAAAAAATGATGTTGATTTTGCTTGCACGTTATTTTCATGGTAAAAATCTGAAAATACAACTTAAAACGTGAATTTAACTGTATTCATCATCTTTTTTTTTAATCCGTTTTGTTTCTCCAAAAAATTCACACAATTTTCGATTAAAATACTGTTGCAAAGTTGTTTTCTCATGTATCATATACCATTAAATTTTCATTTAAACAGGGTATTTGTTGGGTTCAAATGAATATTATTATTTATGAATTGATCATCCAATAATTCAATCACATTTTACATAATCTTCAATACTTCTCAATATGGTAATGGGAATCAATTAATCTTCAAATTATGAAGAATATGTCTCAGAATTATTATCCAAAAGGCCTACGTTTCAGTGAAACATGAGCAAATAATTTTAGAATTGGATTATGATCGCAAATTTTCTAAACTTTTGAAAAAAAAAATTGATCCACTATAGAAAAATTCGTGTCCGTAACCAATGTTTTTTCTTTGGTTTCTATGCTCAAGTCCTTCTTCCCGTTCCATAAATCATACACTCAATGTACTCATTCAAAAGCTTATCGAATAAACTTCAAAATGACACCTGATTTGTCCAATTCTGACCAATTTTCATTGACTTACGAGAGTTTTGGATGAAAATTAAATTTTCATGGTTCATTTGAAAAATCAACTTCGGTTGGATTTTTCGATGCTCCTAAGTGGACTAGGCAGAGATATCTATATGGGGTATTCCATGTGAACTCACCCAGGTCAAAACCCTCACCATCGCCAATCATATTGCCGATTTTTCCTGTGGTTGTATCTGAAAAAATTTTACTTCTCAAATTTTTTCAAATTTTTTGAGGCATCCTGTGGGCAGCCATGTTTTTTTGCAAGTTTTATCTTCAAATGCCTGTAACATCCGTAAAAATCAACCGATTTGAGTTTTTTTTTTACAAAATGTGCGTCTTCGAATACACTTTCCATATAAAAATATGCCAATTTTTTTCAATTCGTTCTTCCATCGATTTCCTCAGAAAAACCTCAAAAAACGAGTCGTTTTCAAAGTTGGACCCTGTTTATAGTTTTCAAAAAATTTCAGTGAATATATTGGACTAAAATAAAATTTTTCACCAAAGGCCAAAGTGGGATCTCTATTAGAACACACCACTCGGAAAGATTTATTGTTAACGAATTTTCAAAAAATCATCAAATTGTTCCTGATTCGAATATAATGCAGTGATTCTTCAGGCGGTCAATTCAAATAAGGCTTCTGCGTTCAAATGCGAAAAGAATTTTGAAATTTTTGGAATTTCTCATTCCGGATTCATATATTCAAATTGGAAATGACGGCCACGAAATGGGAAGCCCACTTTGGCCTTTGGTAAAAAATTTTGTTTTGGTCCAATATATTCACTGAAATTTGTTGAAAAATATGAAAAGGGTCCAACTTTGAAAACGACTCGTTTTTTGAAGTTTTTTGAGGTTTTTCTGAGGGAATCGATGGAAGAACGAATTGAAAAAAATTGGCATATTTTTATATGGAAAGTGTGTTCAAAGACGCACATTTTGTAAAAAAAAAACTCAAATCGGTTGATTTTTACGGAAGTTACAGGCATTTTAAGATAAAACTTGCCAAAAAACATGGCTGTCCACAGGATGCCTTAAAAAATCTGAAAAAATTTGAGGTCATATTTTTCCATATACAACCACAGGAAAAATCGGCAATATGATTGGCGATGGTGAGGGTTTTGACGTGGGTGAGTTCACATGGAATACCCCATATATCATTTTGAATTGGTTGATTCAAAATGATGGGATTGTTCTATAATTATTGGCCATGTGAATGATACTATTCATATACCATTTCAACAAGGATATTTGTTGTTATAGAACGTAAAAATCATGGGAATGAGATTTTAAAAAATGACAACCTATATCGATCTCATGCAATCTGGCTATCTCACTTGGTTCCTAATAAAAGATGGTGCACACGGTGAAATAATCGTTTCAAGTTTCATTTTTCGATTTTTGCTATGAAAATTATATCTGGCCGAAAAATTACCATCATTTTCGGAAAATTCAGAAGCTTTACGATGCAAAATTTTGTTTGCAATATTATTGAAGTATTTTAGAAGGCACTAATAGAAAATTTTCAGGATGAAATTGTTAAATTAAAAGAACTGTCAAACGAAGCGGCAAATCTCGTATAGTTAAGGAATCGCATTTTCTATGTACAAATAATCATCGGCGCTGAGAAAATAACAATAATAATGATAATTAAAAAAATTGAAAAAATCACTACCGATAATTCTCAGGTCGCATCCGCGTACGATATTTCATGGAATGATCTCATACAACGGGTTCCTATTAACGAGGCTTTTTAACTACTAACACGATTCCTTAATAGTTAACGAATACCTTTAATAGTTAAGAGGCCCTGTGAACAGTAACTTAATCGTTCCACGTTTTCTATCAGTGTAGGCAAGTTAGTTGTACTCTGAGGTTTACTAGTTATGGGCAATATTAATTTATTCAGCCAATAGATATTTCTACTGAAAACAACAGCCTTGTCTGGTATCAATTAATGACTACTGAAATTTATTATATTCTACCAACATCTCACCTCCTCGTGATTAAAAATACTGGTTTTCAATCTTTTTTTTGGACAGATTTTGTGGAAATAACAATAAGTTTCAATTGAGGATTGTGAGAAGAATCCCTAAAAACTCAGGTTTTTCTACACGAACCGCTGTTATGTTTCTGACAATTGATTGAAAATTATTGCCAAAGCATGATTGAACGGAAAGATAATTACATCTTCATGTTCTTTGTACCACAATATGTTATTTTTTGTTATTAATGATGCTTCGAATTATTCTTCCGTTAGTAGTAGGATCTAACGAAACGTATTCCATAGTGGATAATTGCAGAATGGCAGGGTAGTACTAAAATGAAGCGACTACGCCAGAAATCAATTATAAATTTTCATAATATTGGGGCTTTGTGGGATTCTTCACCAGCTGCGTCCTCTTAGTGCTGATGAGGCTTGATATTTATGCTTTACCATTCTCTTTTAAATTTAATTTTCAATACTTTAATAATTTGATTTTTTTTAAATTACCATACCTTTAGAAGGAAAGGTTCAAATTCATTAATATCAGCCTAGAACAATTATTTTAAATTAGTTTGTGATATAGTTATGAATTTTTAGTATTACCAACGGTAAGCGAAATTTTCCGATTTTCTTTCCATTTTCTTTTTTTTTTATTTCTCAATAAAACTTGATCCATGCAAATCGTATGAACGTCTGTTTCATCTTACTCTTAAAACTTATCAGCTGTAATATCCCTAGATCTTTAAAATTATCATATTTTTTCTAAAGCTTCATTGCAAACACATGAAAATTTCAAATTCTGCAAACTAAAACACCAGAGTGAAAAACTTGACACTTCTGTTCATTTGCATGGAAGTAATTTTGAAGGTTGAGTGGTATTCAAAAGCTTATTTCTTGGATGCGTGAGAATTATAATATTTGGAAATCATGCCATCAAAAAATTCCAAAGCCAGGAGGAAATACTAAATGGAAATTATCAAAAACTAGTAGGAAATGTTTACGGAAATAGTGCTCTGGATGTACTTTATAGCATCGAATACTGCGCTTCAGTGCTCTGATTTTCCAGAATCCGATAGCCAAAAATATATTGAGACTTTGAGAGTCATATTTTTGCTTTTTGCTTTCCTCACTTATGGGCTCCACATGATATGCCGACTTAATACGTGTTATTACCAACTACACTATTGTCGTAGGGACATTTTTTTGCAAAGGGTAAAATACGGAAAAAACGAAAACTAAAGAATTGACCACCGACAATACGGCTGTTAATTGGGTGATTTAAAGATGAAAAGTGAAAACTGAGAACAACACTGCAAGAATGTTATTTTTTTTCTCGTTTCTATTCCTAGCCACTTGTCTAGATTTATTCGGATTATAATTCTCTTTTTTTATTTCCGTCTTCTTGAAGCATTCGATTAATAGCTTTTTCGTTGAGAATTTTTACATGTTAATTTTGAATTTTGAATTGTTTTTCCTTTTTTGTTATTGTTTCATCATTCTCATTCAATTTCATGTTATTGTCTTAATATGCAGAGGTGATCCACTGTCAAATCTCAAATGCGAATTCCAAACAAAAGAAGAAGCCATCGAACACTGTGAGAAAATGAGATGGAAGTGGTTTGTGCAAAAACCGAATTATTCAGCCCCAAAGCCTCGCTCCTATGGTGCTAATTTCGCCTGGAACAAACGTACCAGAGTATCCACCAAATAATTTATGTCAAAGGTAACTTCTAAATAACATCTCTAATCCTGTACGGTAGTAAAAATGTACGGAAAATGCTGAAATTCAGATGAAAATAATACCATGTACAAAGATTAACTGGTTGTTCAAATAAAGATAAAATTTCAGTTGAACTCGTTGCTTTGATTGCCTAATTATTCAATTTTTCTTCACTGACACATCTTTTATAGAAATTCAATTTCGAAAAATGATTGCATTGGATGAAGGACTCAAATTTAAGGTATTTCGTCTGTGGATCTCCGTAGAGGGGGGTGGGGTGAACCGGGTGAGGAGTCCTATTGTTATCGAGCCCTAATTCAATCGCTGAACATGAAAAATCCAAATTTTCAAATAACATTTTCCATTATAACATTGACGTTTTGTTTCGATTTTTTTAGTGAATTAATTAATTTATTTGGAATCAGTTACACGTATTGCATTGTTGTTTTAAATTTGCTTTATAATTATCGAAATTGTATAAAAATGCATAGAAAAAGTGGCAATGTCCCACAAAGTGGCCGTTTCATTTTCCAAGCTGGCAGTCCTGCAGAGTATTCTACCCGAGTCAAAGGTGGTGTATATTGTCGGACTAGAGAGATTGTAGGCTTCGGTTCCTATTCCCCTACCATTATGTTGTATAGGACTAGGGATGTACGATACCCAAAAAATATCGATATTTGATATTGAATTGGATTGCCCAATATCGATACTTTTTTTAATGCTAATGACACATTAAAAAAATATATTGTCAGTTGAAAAATGAAAACAAACAGTTGACCGCTCCTATGCTGCAGAAGGCATATGACTGTTACTTTATTTATTTGTGTTTATAATTTTTTATTTCTACCAATTCCATTGGTAGTAAGTTTCCGAATGGGGACCCATAGCAATTCTCTTTCAATTTACAAGAGAAACTATTTTCTCACGTCACATTCCTATCCCAATTTTCCCTCAAGTTATTATGCGAAAAAAAAATTTAGGGAAAACCGAAAATGTAAAATCGCCAATATCTCTGGAATCTTATATATAAAGGAGAAGCGATTTTCGAGGCGACTGACGTATCAAGCTACAGCCCAAACTACAAGAGCTACGAGCATGAGCTTTTGCCTACAGCTACCCTTAGTGACGAAAATATCGTGACGATATATCGCCGATAAAAAAGCAGAAAAACAAGTTGATATCTCGATTTTTGCGAGGAGTAGAGTGCGTACAAGCTTTTTATGAAAAACGTAAAAATCTAAATATCTCGAAAACTCTGTATAAACGGGTATACGTATTTGGATTGATTCGTATAGAAGACATTGAGACGAACATTTTGAAAAAAAAATTGAAACCGATTGAATATTTTTAGAGATATTACATAAAACACATTTAAACACAAAATTGAATATCTCAGAAACTAATCAACCGATTTAGCTCATATTCAATACCGGTCATTGCGATAATAAGAAATAACTTCATACCAAATTTCAAGTTGATATCACGATTTTTACGAGGGGTAGAGTGCGTACAAGCTTTTTATGAAAAACGTAAAAATCTAAATATCTCGAAAACTCTGTATAAACGGGTATACGTATTTGGATTGATTCGTATAGAAGACATTGAGACGAACATTTTGAAAAAAAAATTGAAACCGATTGAATATTTTTAGAGATATTACATAAAACACATTTAAACACAAAATTGAATATCTCAGAAACTAATCAACCGATTTAGCTCATATTCAATACCGGTCATTGCGATAATAAGAAATAACTTCATACCAAATTTCAAGTTGATATCACGATTTTTACGAGGGGTAGAGTGCGTACAAGCTTTTTTTTTTATGAAAAACGGAAAAATCGAAATATCTTGAAAACTTTGTATGAATGGGTACTCATATTTTGATTGACTCAGATAGAGGACATCAAGACGAACATTTTGAAAAAAAAATATCGAAATTGGTCCAATAGTTTTTTAGATTTTCGCGAAAAACGATAAAAATACAAATTGCTCTCTCTAAAAAACAAATGGACCGATCGGGCTGAAATTTGGCACAGAGGTACTCCAATTCAATACCAAATATCTGACAGAATTTCAAATTTTTTAGAACTGTTTTAGCCCTCTATTCGTTTAATTTACGAAAAAATGACTACGAGATGACCGTGAGCACAGACACACACGGTGTCCAAACTTCGTATTTTTACGTTTCAGACCATTGTACATCGTTTCCAAGCAAAATTAGAGAATGTGAAAATCCAATGATTTCAAAGCTTCCATTCGGAAGCAAAAAAAAAACGAAATGAATGGAATCAAATGCAAAGGAAGGTTGTATGAAACAAATATTAGGGGAGGTGCGGGTAAAGTAGACAGCGAGGACAAAATGAACATACGCAAAAATCTTATATTTTCTCAATTTGTTAATTTGTGTTTTTCCTCATTTGAATAATAAAATCAACAAAATATTCAACATTTATATAAAAATCAGGGCACCATAGGATGAAAATGTGAATATTCGACGATAGTCCAAACGCTGAGGGGGATTGAGTATACATTTTGAGAAAAATATTTGCAACAAATGTTTTGTTATAGGTTTTGAGGTACAGAATCTGAATTTCTTGGTATATCAACTGAATTTTACCGCAAAGGCATTATTATTCACAACCTAAGAGTTTAAATGTCTCTCCTGCGGTCATTAGGTCACACTCGAAAAAAGTTTGAACAAAAAAACGCCAGAATTCGCAACAAATCCAATGACGTTTAATTTTTCAAATATTTCAAATGGTTTTTGACATATGAATTTTGCAATACAATGCGCAGCGCTCCCAGTGAATTCGCCCGCCAGTAAAACCACCATGTTATCAGTAAAAAAGATCCCTCAATAGATAACAATGGTAGGATTCCAATTGTTTCAGTAGTTATTTCAATCAATCTCATTTTCTCATCCTTTTGGTAGGAATAATTCAAAAGATGGAATGATTTTTCAATGACTTTATTGGCACACTCCTAAAACAAATTGTCACTTCTAATCAACAACAATGATTACTTAGTCGTCATTTGAAGGGGCTATTATTGTATAGAATCACATAATCGAAATTGAAATTATTTAGGTACATAAATTCCTGCATTTTTTAATCCACTCGTATTAAAAATGAAAAACTGATTAATCTCATTGTTCAACATAATTACAATTCTCATGGAAGTATAATAGAGATGAAAAATATGAACAATGGATGTAATTAATTCAAAATTGATTACTTTCATTGACAAAGACTTTTTAAAATTTGTAGTCAATGGTGAATGGGTAAAACCAATTGATCTTTCACATTTTGTCGTTTTAAATATGAGATCATCCTGGAAATGAGTGATTTTAAGAGTACTTACAAAAGGTCTATTAATATTTTGTCCTGAAACTACTCGTTCTGGAGATAATTCAATCATTACAACATGAAATCGTCGTATTTGAATATAATAAATCGAAAATTTCATTTTTGACACTGCTGCTACGTTCACCTCGTGCCGAAAAGTACCTTTTCATTTACTCGTAAACGAAAAGTAAACAAAAATTCTTATTGTAATTTGACCCTTAAGAACGTTCGTTTGACTTTTGGAGGATGAAACTTCCGTTCAACTTTACTCCATTCTCACCTAATTATTTCAAGAATGAGTAGTTTCACAACAAAATGTCAAAAGACGTTTTTTGAACGAAATTTCATAATCTAGAGGAGTAGCTCTCTTTAGGAGTGGTTTCCCTTAAATCACTCCTCCCCAAAACAAACTTACAATTACCATAAATGTCAAATTCTACTCCGCATATTTCACCACTCTCCCAACTGATATTCTAACTCCTTAAAAAATTCTTATTCCCAAGAGTATCTATTAAAATATCACAAAACCTCAGAGAAAACCATGGAACCTCTCAAAATGATTATTAAACAACAAAATCTAGTAATAAACACCCGCAATATTCACAGAGAAAGTGAACAGTCGTTTCTACAATAACTACACACTCATACTTCCATTAAAAAATAATTTTTATCAATACCCTATCAAGTCTTGGAGGCAGAGGGGAACATTGCCATCGAGCAGATGCTTGTGCTGTCTTTGATTACGAATAAATCCATTATTATTGAATTAAACTCATCCCTCGGGGTTTCTACATTTCATTAAAAAAATAAGAATTTCAGTCAATTAAAAAAGACTGGATCTAATCGTTTATTGATAATCTCTTTGTTGAAGACCAAACTGAGGCTGCAGATCTGAGACGAGGGTTTGGTACAGTATTAGCTAGATACCATAAGACGATAGCAATTATAATGCTCCAGCTTCTGAAGGGGCAGAGGATTGTTGCGATAGTGCCATAGGCTAGCCAGAAAAAATAAGCAAGCACAGTTTGCATTGAGATTAAAAGGAAAAAGGGTAGATGCCTCCAGAGTAGCGTCAATAAGTTCGGTTGTTTCATCAAGGGTTTTTCTAACATCTGAAATCGCCTGTCCACTGCAAATGCCAAGATTATTGTCAACGGTACGTGAAACGTGAATAGTTGGAAGAATCCGTAGGCATATGTGAAGGATCCGGGGAGATATGATTTTCCGATGTACATTCCCCAAGCGAAAATTATGCCGAAGGAATCTTCTATCACCTCCCCTGCTGCCCATGGACCTTGTAATCATTAATGCTATCTATTAGTTAATGAGTTGATTATGTTGATGAGAGTTGAGAGAGTTTTGAAGGGGTCAATGTGGTTGAGGAACATGGAATTTCTAAATGAATTGGGGAGTTGCGAGAGACTCATTGTATCTCATAATTATCATGGATTGTATTGTTTTATTGTTGTTTTTTGGAACTTACCGAAGACTAGGTAGAGTGGATACAAAACCATCGGCCAGAAGAGATAATGAATCGTAGATGTGATCCAAAGTTTTCTAATGAGTATATGGAGACATCTAATCCTCAACCTTGGACGTTGCATCTTCTTCATCAGCACCAGTTTATGGCACACTCGTAGAATACATAGAGGAACCACATTGAAGACTAGCATCACTCCAAAAGCAATCGCAAACTGCAACAAAAGTGATATAACAAAAATCTAAGAAAGCCATACGCAAAGAGTAATGGAGATAGTAAAATTGAGTATTAAGTCTTCAATGAACTGTAACAGAATTTTCCATTTGGGGCTGGAAAACCACGTTAACTCGCCCATTTCCCCTAGACTGAGAAAACTCAAAAAAAAACTTATCGATGAGCGCCAGACGTCCTTTGACATCGAAGACGACAAACCGAATAAACGAACCTCAAACGAAAAACAAAACGAAGGAACCAGGAAATAACCATTAATCTCACACAAACTTAAAACTAAGGAGTGCAGGGGAAGGTGATAGGTTGTTCGCGCTGCTCAGGGGGTTGGTTGTGGAGAGGGGTAGGTTCGGATGGAAGATGGGCCAATGGGTATTGCTCAAAAAAACAAATAACGTAACTCGAAACACCGGAATTAATGTTGTGTAATATATCGAGGTTATATTCATGTAAAAAAAAATAGGAAAACTATACACAATTGTCGCAAAAAAATATATCCAAATATATCCAAATAATTTAGCAAAAGAAAAGGAAACACTAAATTAACTCAAAACAACTAATCTCAAAAAAACTGAGAGTAAGAGCACGATAAAAGAAATTGAAAAAAACAGAATAATCCCACAAAAAATACATATTCTTCAATACTCAATAATTATTGACCAGACAAAGAGCCAGAGGACAAATGTCTAACGCGAACTTCAATCCCACGACTCAAATTCTCGTCAACGCCACGAAATAGAATTAAAGGTGAAACAAAACCCATGAAATCTAACACACGTCCACGTCCAACGCAAAGAGAAAATCATGACTCTAATCAGCTCGTGTTGACCAGCAACATTTTCACCGTTCAGCGCAAAACCCGAATAATAAAACATGGAACGGAATCGAGATCGTATGGAATCGAACAGCCGAATACACCACCCGTATCCCCACGTAATCCGAATGCGAAATTCTCTCACTTATGCACAAAAAAAGGAACAATCGAACACCACAATAATCCTCAAAAGAGTTCTGCGGCAAAACTCCGGATGGTTACAAAAACCATGCGGTAACGCGAGTCGAAACCCAAAATCTCATCTAAACTTCTGGTTAGATGCAAAATTCTCTCCAGAGGGGCATCGCCAAAAGGCACTCTGCCCGAAGGCCATGGACTCGATGAGGGCTAGTCACCGACTCCTCGAATACTCGACTACTCAACTACTACTCTCGACTACTCGACTACTCTTCGAATATGCAAAAATCGGTCAATTTATACCCCAAAAGTGAAAATAGAGCGAGTATCTAACGTCAAAAGATAGAACGAGAGCGCTATATCCACGTAGTGGGGTCAGCCGCTGTGACATAGCAAATATCCAGCGCTAGGTACGACGAAGCTGCTAAAAGGACACGTCAACCTAATCGCCAGAAAAGCGTAATTCAGTTCAAATTGAACCGACAACACAACAAAAAAGAAAAAAAATGAAACGGAGTAAAAGAGCGGTAATTAGCCCAGATAAGATCCACTAACTATGATTACCTCTTCGGGGCTGCATTCTCAAAGATTACCAGGGCAGAGACGCAAGATACGTCGAAACTATAACTCAACAGAACATATAATGCACCATAAGACAAAACTTGATTCCCTAAATCGTATAGCGACCTTGGAAATTCACACGGTTGCAACGGTCGCGATTGCCCGTGTGACCTTCCGCCGAAACCCAAAACCGAAACTGTCTCATCCCGATAAATCCATACACTGAGCGCCAGCATTTCAGCTGGGCCTCCACCTTTCCCCGAAGATTAAATGCAAGGGGGAATTCCTATCAATAATCGCGTAGCTCGATAATATTTTAGCCCAAACAACGAAAATTTCTGGGCCCCCGATAGTTAACTGTATCAAAATTCCTAACACATAGCACGTAAATACCATCCGGAATAACAATAATTTTTCCTCAATATAAACGATCACCGGACGGTCACTAACACGATAATTTTTCCTGTCCAAAATTTATTAAAATGAAAGGCTCTGGGTCTTTGTCTGATTCACGCTTAATCCGAAGTTCTCGATGGTCTATGGATCGTCTACGGAATTCCCAGAATTCCTTACAGAACCCGTCATTATCTGGAAAATGATCAATGTCAAAGAAAAATGATGAAAACTTTTTTTCATTAAAGGAAGAATTCTTTTGTAGGGAATTAAATAGCCTAAGGAAACTTTCTTTTGACATTTTTATAGATTCATTTTATGCAAAGAAGGTCTCTTGACAATTTTTCCTAAAACCACGCACCATTGAGATAATTAAAAATTCAATTGTCAGGCTCTTCCACTCCCCTCTAAATGCCCATTTCAACCCCTCACGTCTTCTCAATCCCTCGCCACCCTCAAAAATTCATCAACGGACTCATTCGTAAATTTCCTTAACCCTTCAGAACTCGCGCTCAGCCACCGACCTTCGTTACTCGCGTGGTGAGCGCTGCGCCGCCCGTGCTTTCAGTAACGCAGCGTTGTCACGTTCATAGGTACGCGCCGAGCGTGCGGCGAGCGGGAAACAGCAACAGCGGAATTGAAAATTTTACATCCTTCGTTACTCGCGCTGGGCGGCACGGCGCCGCTTTTGCGTATGAGCCTCAACAATTTATTATTTTTCGTAGCCTTGATGGATTTTCAGCGGATAAGAACCTTGCTAATCCATTCTAAATGATTCAAGCTAGGCATTCTAATTTTTTCAATTTTTTGAAAGCTCAATTTTGCAAGAGGCAAGCGAAAATTTGAAAAAGGCGGCGCGGCGCTTATAGCGCGAGTTCTGAAGGGTTAACATTGACATGGAAGAACTTTAATTTTATTTAATTTCCAGTTTTGACATGACTATTACTTAACCATCAAAATATTCCTATAAATCATAATTCTTACAATTCTGCTGGCATCAGACATCAACAAGAACCTTGCAAGCACCTTGAAGGACATCCTGGAACCATCCAGTGCGAACATCTGCACCACCTTCTTCTCCCTGCTCAGCTCATCCACAACTCTCGTGCTGATAGTATGAATGCCGTTCAAGTATCGCGAGGCATTCCATCGCGCCACATAAAGAGGTCCTTCAACCTTTCTGCACTGAACCCACCCCTCCTCATCGATCCTAACACTAACAGATGTGATGGGATCTGTAGAGAACGCCAACACCCTCACATGAGTGGACTCAATAATCGATTTAATGTTCTCTCGTTGAGGCATCGAATACAAAACGTGTTTGGGATTCGTGATGACAGCCACAGGCCAGTCGTTATGCTGATTATCACTGAAGGAGAATTGTCCATGATCAATTATCCCCACTCGGTACATCCTATTGTCCTTCCAGTCAGCTAGTTCTAGCTCTAGATACCCCCCTCGTTGCAACGTGTACATCTCAGGGGCAATTCCGCCCAGGGTGTGATAGTGTCCACAGAGGTACACCATTCCCTCTTTATGTTTAGCCATAATCTCTCTTAGTCCGTCGTCGCACTGGGACAGGATGCAGGAGGTTGGGTAGTGTCCAAACCACACTATATAGTCACTGTTAAGTCTCTTGGAGTCTTGAGCTAGCTGTTTTATCTTGTCTATCTCGTGCTCATCGAGAAAGCCCACGAAGTTGAAAGGACGCTTAGGACCTGGCTCCAGGCACGCGTCAATCGCTATGAACGAGTATTTCTGCGAGTAGAAGCTTATTTGGTGGATATATGAGCGCGGATGGTGCCTGCCTTGGACTGAATAGTTCAAATAGTAGTTCTCAGGGGATTTTATGTTGATGACATTGAAGTTGTCTGGAAATCATGAGAGAAGGATTTTCAGGCGTGAACAGTTGTGTGAGTTTTGAAGTAATGGGGATGGAATTTTCAGATGAAGAAATGGAATTTAAATAGTTCTTGATAGATTATTCTAGAAGTAGTACACTGACTGAAAAAAAGCAGATTTCTAATTTTCTGGGATAAAAAAAACTCTTATCGGTAACATTTTCCGGAATGATGCGGTGAAGGACTACATTGGGAGAAAAACGAGCAAATTCTCCAACTAGTCTTGTTTGGGCCAATAAAATCGTTAGTTGAAAATTACCAAAAAATAATAATTGTTTGGTTCGAATTTGAAAGTATCAAACATGAATAATTACTCTGCTTTCAACAACAATTAAATATTTCCGAAGAGGCGGATCATTCATACAAGACGGTGCCTTTTCAGGATAAAAATATCTTTTATAGATCAATAAATATTTATCAATAATAATTATTTATCAATAAATATTTTGTCCCTAAGTTACAAGATTGTTGTCATATCATCATTGTTGTTTCATTTAGAAATTCATTTTTTGTATGTGCATAGATTATCGAATAGCCGAAACAACAAACTACTATCCCTCGGATATAAAACAAGCATTTTCTGGGAGAAAAATACGTATGGGAGCATCGAATAACGAAGAAGTAGTGCTGGAAATTACATTTCTTGCTTGCACAAAGAATAACATTTTTTTGAAAAGACTAAATCTATTTTTGCTATGAAAATTTTCAATCTCAGCGCACATTTCACATGTTTGGCACAAAAAAATCCTTTTTCGATACTTTTTTACAAACGATCTTTTTGGCACAAGTAAAACTTGTTTGAGAACTCTTCTGTTTTTCTCTCAGTGTAGAAGATTGAAGAAAATGAGGAGATTCTTCAGACCAATATGAATAATTTCTTTATAGTCAATAATCAAATATCGTAATGATTCTTGATTGTAACAGAAATTGATGATTCAATGCATAATCGGACCAGGTAATTCACAAATTCTTCATCTTTGTCCAAACAAGTTGCTAATTTACTCTAATTTTCTAAGCACTCACTGGGGTAATCAAGAAAAAAAAGTGACAAAAAACTTGATGAAGTTGATTAGAGTTGAAACACATTCTGGATTACAGTTCAATGAATATATTAAGAAAAAGTAGGTCTTGAAGAAATTTTCAAGAAACAAATTTCATAGAGAATTTAATTTTCTGCAAAAGAGGTCCTTGGCGTAGTTTTTATAGATTGATCCCTAACAAGGTAATTTAAGAATGAGAAAGAGCTAAATTATCCATCGAGAAGCTTTAAAATTCCATTACCGATTATTTTGTAATATATCTCAGACAGCATCAGGTTTAGAGACAAATATCAAGCGATAGTTTTTGTAAATCATAAACTTCTCTACTGAAACTTCCCCGAAATTTTTTTCCAAAATCTCTTCAATTTTCTCTACAATTTTTGTACACGACAATAAGATTTTTCTGTTTTCTTGATGAAGAGATTGAAGTTTGTCAATTTTACCATGATTTCCTCTGACATCCAGCCAAGTGGTCTTCTTGAGCACCCCAGATTCATCCAAGACTCTTCTGTAATGTTTCCATTCATCCAACGCTTGTTTAGAGCCCATTGCATCTTTTTTCTTAGCATCAGTCAAATCACCAGAGGCCAGAACCACTGGTGGATTGAACGCGTCGACAGTTACATCGCAAAACTCTTTCAGTTCAGTTATTCTAGAGGGGTCCTTGAAGATACTAATATGGATATCTGAAATCTAAAAATGAAAAAATTTCAAAACGAAAAATTAAACCCATATCGAAATGCTCTCCAAGAATTCACCAATAAGTAAAATCTTTTAGAGTTGAAAGGGAAGCAAATGAAGTTTGAGTTTTCGGTGAATATTTCAGAATTTGCGAATAGCAGGAATTCGCTTAGTGACCTTAATTGTAGAACAATATCAAATCTACTAACAAGGTCCCTATAAAGAGGTCCATCTTTCTATTGATATTCTCGCAAAGGTGATTTAAAGACAAGAGGCAGCATGTGGCGTAGTGCGTGTCGCAGTAATAGGCGAAATAGTATTTACTAAATACTAAATAATTAAAGAATGAAATATTTACTATTTAGTCAGTACCTAAATACTGAATACTTCAATATGTAATAATTAGTCCACTGTTCTAAATACTAAAGACTTTTTTTATTTAGTATTTAGCGCTGCAACAAATACTAAATAAAAATTGTAGATTCAAACCCGCATGTTTACCGCCCTCAGCTTCGCCAATACGCAGGCTCTGTGTATTAAACGCAAATACTTTCGTGATCATGCATGGTACACGCAGAAGCTGCGTGGCGCACGCAGAGCCTGCGCATCACACCCAGAGCCTGCATATCATAGGTAGGCTCTTTCATATCCCTGCGTGCAACATGCAGGCTCTTTGGTATTTATGCGTGGAACACGCAGATACTTTCGTGATTATGCGTGGTATACGTAGAGCTTGCATATCACACGCACACTCTTTCGTCGCTGTGCGTGGAACACCCGCAAAGCCTGCGTACCACGTGTAATGGGTTGAGGTCACGGCTCCCAAAAGGCAAGCGTCAGAGTACTACAAACTTACGAATAAAAAACTTCCTATCACCTAGATTTCTTATTTTCAAATTTAACAATGGAATTAAAATGTAATTTTACTTTCGCTCGACACTTCTGATCAGGCGATATAATATTTTCATTCAATTTTTTACAGCAGAATTTCTTCAACAAACATTAGCAATATGTCGAAAAATAATCGACCACATCGATATAATTATAATGGTGCGATTTATATCTACTTTATTTTTATAACTGCGCCGATGTAGCCATATCAATTACTAATACGACATATTTAGGAATTGTGATAATAAAACAAAAAACTATTATATTGACTCGTCAAGCCAGTGATATACCGCAGCCACGAATAAATATCATGCTGAACATTTGAATACAAAATAGTTAGGCAGCGGAATTAATTAATGCCTCCAATCAAGAATTACTTCAATGTACTCTTGAAGATATGACTACTCTTGATGAACTAATATCTTCTTACTTGTATTTACGGTAAAAAATTGATAACTGTAAGGTCATTAACTGTAGTCTGAGTTTACCGGCGGAATTACAACAGTATTTGACGGTTTTATGTGATTAAAAATGATAACGGATATAGATTCCAGCCAAGAAAGTAATCCTAAGAATAATATATCTACCAATGAATTTTTTTGACGAAAATTTCTTTAGTCTTCAGCCCTTGGATTACGTTAACGGGAATTAGAACTTGTAAGAACCTTTGCATTGATCTCCTTATAGAAATGGATCTAGCAGAATCCATGAAATTGTATTATTGAGCATGACGCTAAAAAATCAATAATAGTGGTTATATAACTCCCGTATAATTATACTATCATACATGTATTCAACTATTCCAACCCAAGAGCCTATTCTTTAATGTAATTTTTAGTTTGAGATTATTCGAATCAGGCGCTTAAAAATACTGCGGATTTTCGATTTAGCCGAATGGTATGGCGAACTCTGCTTTATCGACCTTGGAAGATAAGGCAGGGAGCAACATATCGATAAAACATCACCGCTAAATAGGGGCGGGGAAGGCAAAATGGGGCATGAAACCGTAGAGGCTAATTAATTGTGTTTTTTAGTAAAAATTACTTATATTGGAGGTAAAATATGGCTCCAGCATGAGTTGAAATCACGGCATTCAAAAAAAATAATTGAAGGACAAAATGGGAATGCCCCAATTGAAATAACGCAAAATTGCGTTGATTGACTTTGATTATAAATAGTATGTAATTAATTAAAATGTATACTTATATGTTACATATTTTTTCGATACATAATCGAAGTCGTCTCAGGGTGTTTTGACCAAATTCGCGGAATTTCAAGAAGAAAAAATTGAAAATAAAATGGGTCCAGGACAAAACCTAACTTGTTTGACAGCTCAAAATACTTGTTTTGATGACAAGAATTAATGAAAAAAATAAAAGAAAAATAAAACATGACATAATTTTGAAAAACCAAGTTTTTCAACTTATTTTTTTTGGATTCGTTATTATGAGCACCTAGGGATTGAGAAAAAAAATTACTCAAAATATTCTGATAGATAGCAGAAAATGGAAAATTTTGTTGGGTTATAAATGAAAATCCAATGAATAGAACTGAACTTATTGAAAAATGAAGAAAAAATCATATCTCTGAAATGGATTGTCGAAAAAATCTGAAAAAAAATGAGAGATAGTTTTTAATTAACTCATCTGATAGTTATTTCGTACTTTTCTCGCAAATTCATCATTATTTCAATTTTACCGAAAATTTTGAGGTGTCCCATTTTGCCCACCCTACCCCGTTTTGCCCTACCCGCCCCTAGTTAGCAGATAGAAAAATTNATAGTTTATTTATAATTAATTGTTGTTTAAATTCCATATAGTTAGCAGATAATATATTGAAAAAAAAATAGTGATATGAATCGATAGCAAATAATTTGGGAAGTTCAAAAATGTCAAATTCAGAATTAGGGAGTGGATAAATATTTTATAAATAAATATTTTTCAACTTTCTTATAAGGATCCACATAAATAAATATTTATCCACTGCCTAATTCTGAATTTGACATTTTTGAACTTCCCAAATTATTTGCTATCGATTCATATCACTATTTTTTTTTCAATATATTATCTGCTAACTATATGGAATTTAAACAACAATTAATTATAAATAAACTATAGACTCCTAAATTATAATTTTGTCCTTCTAAATTCTCCCTAATTATTCCAAATTGATATAAATAAAATTCATCCGCAAAATAATTTTTCTATTTGCTAACTAGGGGAGGGTTGGGCAAAACGGGGTAAGGTGGACAAAATGGGACACCTCAAAATTTTCGGTAAAATTGAAATAATGATGAATTTGCGAGAAAAGTATGAAATAACTAAGAGATGAGTTGNAATTCATCCGCAAAATAATTTTTCTATTTGCTAACTAGGGGAGGGTTGGGCAAAACGGGGTAAGGTGGACAAAATGGGACACCTCAAAATTTTCGGTAAAATTGAAATAATGATGAATTTGCGAGAAAAGTATGAAATAACTAACAGATGAGTTGATTAAAAACTATCTCTCATTTTTTTTCAGATTTTTTCGACAATCCATTTCAGAGATATGATTTTTTCTCCATTTTTCAATAAGTTCAGTTCTATTCATTGGATTTTCATTTATAATCCATCAAAATTTTCCATTTTCTGCTATCTATAAGAATATTTTGAGTATTTTTTTTCTCAATCCCTAGATGCTCATAATAACGAATTCAAAAAAAAAGTTGAAAAACTTGATTTTTCAAAATTATGTCATGTTTTATTTTTCACGTATTTTTTTCATTAATTCTTGTCATCAAAACAAGTATTTTGAGCTGTCAAACAAGTTAGGTTTCGTCCTGGACCTATTTTATTTTCAATTTTTTCTTCTTGAAATTCCGCGAATTTGGTCAAAACACCCTGAGACGACCTCGATTATGTATCAAAAAAATATGTCACATATAAGTATACATTTTAATTAATTACATACTATTTATAATCAAAGTCAATCAACGCAATTTTGCGTTATTTCAATTGAGGCATTCCCATTTTGTCCTTCAATTATTTTGTTTGAATGGCGTGATTTCAACTCATGCTGGAGCCATATTTTACCTCCAATATAAGTAATTTTTACCAAAAAACACAATTAATTAGCCTCTACGGTTTCATGCCCCATTTTGCCTTCCCCGCCCCTATTTAGCGGTGATGTTTTATCGATATGTTGCTCCCTGCCTTATCTTCCAAGGTCGATAAAGCAGAGTTCGCCATACCATTCGGCTAAATCGAAAATCCGCAGTATTTTTAAGCGCCTGATTCGAATAATCTCAAACTAAAAATTACATTAAAGAATAGGCTCTTGGGTTGGAATAGTTGAATACATGTACGATAGTATAATTATACGGGAGTTATATAACTACTATTATTGATTTTTTAGCGTCATGCTCAATAATACAATTTCATGGATTCTGCTAGTTCCATTTCTATAAGGAGATCAATGCAAAGGTTCTTACAAGTTCTAATTCCCGTTAACGTAATCCAAGGGCTGAAGACTAAAGAAATTTTCGTCAAAAAAATTCATTGGTAGATATATTATTCTTAGGATTACTTTCTTGGCTGGAATCTATATCCGTTATCATTTTTAATCACATAAAACCGTCAAATACTGTTGTAATTCCGCCGGTAAACTCAGACTACAGTTAATGACCTTACAGTTATCAATTTTTTACCGTAAATACAAGTAAGAAGATATTAGTTCATCAAGAGTAGTCATATCTTCAAGAGTACATTGAAGTAATTCTTGATTGGAGGCATTAATTAATTCCGCTGCCTAACTATTTTGTATTCAAATGTTCAGCATGATATTTATTCGTGGCTGCGGTATATCACTGGCTTGAAGAGTCAATATAATAGTTTTTTGTTTTATTATCACAATTCCTAAATATGTCGTATTAGTAATTGATATGGCTACATCGGCGCAGTTATAAAAATAAAGTAGATATAAATCGCACCATTATAATTATATCGATGTGGTCGATTATTTTTCGACATATTGCTAATGTTTGTTGAAGAAATTCTGCTGTAAAAAATTGAATGAAAATATTATATCGCCTGATCAGAAGTGTCGAGCGAAAGTAAAATTACATTTTAATTCCATTGTTAAATTTGAAAATAAGAAATCTAGGTGATAGGAAGTTTTTTATTCGTAAGTTTGTTGTACTCTGACGCTTGCCTTTTGGGAGCCGTGACCTCAACCCCGTGTAATACGCTGAGCCTGCGTGTATCATGCATGATCACGAAAGTGAGGTACTTAAACCTGACACAGCCAAAGTAGCACAATCGAATGTTGGCCATTGCATCGCAAAGTGACAGTTTTTCNATCATGCATGATCACGAAAGTGAGGTACTTAAACCTGACACAGCCAAAGTAGCACAATCGAATGTTGGCCATTGCATCGGAAAGTGACAGTTTTTCACTAATTTATTATGATAATTTTGAATTTTTCTTGTTTATATTTTTTTTGTTTTTTATGGCTGTGCCAAGTTTATATCAAGTTAGCACAGCCAAGTGAAAAAAGACGTTGATGATTGTTTTGTTGGTTCCTAAGGGATGAGTAAACTGAGGAATGTCGAGGGGGAGTTTGCTCACCCCTTAATAATAATGAATAGATTTTTTTTTCCATGTTTTTTTCTATTTGAAAAATTATAATGTTGCATTTTCAAATAGAAAAAAACATGGAAAAAAAAATCTATTCATTATTATTAAGGGGTAAGCAAACTCCCCCTCGACATTCCTCAGTTTGCTCACCCCTTAGGAACCAATAAAACAATCATCAACGTCTTTTTTTACTTGGCTGTGCTAACTTGATATAAACTTGGCACAGCCATCATAAAAAACAAAAAAAATATAAACAAGAAAAATTCAAAATTATCATAATAAATTAGTAAAAAAACTGTCACTTTCCGATGCAATAGCCAACATTCAATTGTGCTACTTTGGCTGTGTCAGGTTTATAAGTACCTACGAAAGTGTCTGTGTGTAATACGCAGATCCTGCATGTAAACGCTTCCATTCAAAAGTAAAAACTGATTAATTAAGGGAATCGAGCTGAATTGAAAAAAAAATGAACCAAGAGTTAGGGATAGGTAGGGCTAAATTCTCATCAGTACTCCTAAGCGTAAAAAAAGTTGATAAGCAAAAGTTAATAAACAAAAAATTTAATAAAAAAAAGTGTCACGCCGTGCAATAAGTCGAGATTATCGCACGCTGCGCTTCGCACGTGTGCTTCAAACTCGGCTTCTGCACCTCGTCTCCTGCTCGGCCTGAAAACTTTACATTCGTCGAAAACTAAATTTGTGCACTTGTACTCTAATGTACTATGTTGCTTGAATTCCGTCAAACAGTCTTGTTTCGACTGTTTCTTTTTGCCCCACTCTCCCTTCTATTGAAAGTAAAAAATGCGAAATTTAACAGATATTGAATCGTCGGTAAAAATCTTTCTTGAAGTTCTCATTAAAAAAATTATTTATTCAAGATTTATTCAAGAATTTCGCAACCTCCCTTCAAAGTTGAGCTTACTTATCTCATACAATCTCTACAAAAAAAAAATCGTCTTTACCTGCAAAAACCACATGAGATTATCCATCATATCTCCAATCTCATACTTCTTCGGTTCATGTCCTTCAAACCTTTGAGTCCCCTCTTCATAATGAGTCTTGCTGTCAGTCGCGATTAAATTAGCTACATTAGCAACAAAAATAGACAGCATAACAACGGAAACAAGGAAGACAATAGTCGATATCGATATCCTCATCTTCATTAAATCACTCCCAAACTCCGATTGCCAAAACACTAATACAGTCATCCAGTGCCTCAATGAATAAATTTTCAATTTTAATGATTTATCTTCATGTTGATGTCTCTCATCTGATCTGATTATTATCGACAAGTTAATACAATTGTCCGCTTTTTCGTATATCTCCACTGACTGACGGAAGACCTCGCACTTTCCTACATCACTCGACTAACACATTTTCCCGAGAAGTTGAAGAAAAAAAATCGAATCCCCTATTTCATCAGAAATTATTGAAGTATCTCTTTCCATTACGCCACTTTAAATATTCAGGTTTTTACCCAGGAACACGCTCCACTGTTCGATCAGCTGATGGACCCCAACAATACCTGCGCAGAAGTACCTTCTGCCGGTCCGCGCATCAGCGTAATAAAATTTTTTCTCGGGAGTTAGCTTAAACTTTCAAATGATCAACATCTCCCGATTGAATGATACGATTTGATTGAAGTAGGTCTGATTTGAAAATCTCAAAAAGTACCTTCAAAATGAAAAAAAAGTTGTTGAATTTCACTCCACTCATCTCGAGTTATTGACGATTGAAAACAATCCATTTTAGCCCGCCCCCTCGTTGTTATTATTGTTTTCTTTTATTTTGCGTGTGGATGCAGACGTGTTCAGACGTGTTTGATGAATGTTGGTGAATTCTGGAATATTGTGACATAATTATTGCAAAGTGACGGAAGCCGGCAGGATGCCACAGGGACGAAGAAAAGCTCCGTTCAGTGGCAAGGCTAAGAAGCAACAGATGCAGGCGAAAAAACATCGAAAACAGACATTCCTAGGTAATTTGCCGAGGTTTATGGGTTAGGTATCGGTTAGGGTAATAATATTTACATTTGTTATGATGATTGAGTGGATATCAGAGGAAGGCTATTTATAGCGGTATAATTGTAAGGATAATGTAAAAACAAACTTTTAAATAATTGGAGCCGAATTTATGGATTTGTTACTGTTATTTCATGGTCAACGATTTTTATTTTGTTTCAAGTATACCATAAAAGACCTTGTTTTCGGACACACATATAGATAAAACCGCATAACTTTATTTCCATTGAGAACAATATTGTTTTGTTGCTTTTTTTAACGTCCCTGAATGATTCGAACAATTTTGTATTGTGCAATTAATGACATCATTGAATGAGGCCCCAGAAATCCCAGAAATATATTACCGCCAGGTTACTTTGCTCCAAAAACCGAAATTCGATTTTACTTAACACAATATTTTTTCAACTCAAATCATATTCATACAACGTGAAACAGCAGGCAAGCAGGGGACAGCGAGCATGACAGCAGGCCATGTGACAGTGAGCATGTCACTGAAAGATGTATTTTTTTTTTACTGCCACCTCCATGAGTGCTATCAAAATTCCAATGTTTCGAATACTTCCTATGAGGGTATACATATTTTCTGTCCAAATTTCAAATGAGATGTCTCGATTTTTGCACCAGCTCGAGTGTTTACAAAGTTTCTTGTAATGAAAAAACGGGAATATTTCGGAAACTTTGTATGAACTAATATAAAAAATTAGTTTTTCTCATATACTCTTTCGGGTTTTTACGATTTGTTCCCTTCCCACCCCCCCAACCCCCTGTACCGCATTCCCCGAAGGACGAGCGAAACACTCACTTGAGGGAAAAACCTGCCCAGGTACAGTCGTCCCTTTAACGAGACTTCCGCTCGACAGTGAAACTGTGAGATTAGAATGTTACAAATTTTGGCTCCCCAGCCGGGTATCGAATCCAGGTCGCTCACGTGCCAGTATGAACTAATATATATGTTTTGATTGATTTAGACAGAAGGCATCGCAACGAATATTTTGTGTTATGTCCGGAGACGTGTCAGCGTCGAAGGACACTTTTTGGGTAGAATTGTAAATTACGGGAAAATAACAATCTAGAATTTTTGATATAAAAATATGGGAAAGCTATACTTCGAAAGGAATTGTTAAGCCAGATACTTTTATATTTTGATTTATATTGAACGACGCTAGGTGTAATTTATCTCTCTTACCTTGATTTACGTTACTAATTTTGAGAATCGAAATTGGGATACTGAAAGGATGAGGAATATTTGAAGTAAGGAAATAGTCAAATGATTCCGAGACAATTTTTCTGTTCAAAAGTAATCTTCTATAATTTCGACTTGGTTGATAATTACAAATGAAAAATTTACAATTTGAATCGTGGTTGAATTGTTGATTTTTGAAATTGATATTAAGTTAATATTTTATCGCTGGAAAGTCTTTTTACAAAGTCTGATAGTGGATTGCTTTGGTCTTCAAAATGGTTGAAGGTTATTGATAATTGAACTTACAGTTGATGATGGTTTTAGTAGTAATCCTTATATTTCTAGTTGTGGANTTTTGGGGAGTGAGTCGGTTCTTGATCGATACACGATTTTGCTTTTGATTGGTGGAAATTATGGCGTGATTTTCCCACTTTTTATTCTTGGAGGGAATTGACCTATTGGGTTAGCGGTTTTAGGCGCGCCGGATTTCGCACTGGCGATTCTTCACCTGCGAGGTGTTACTCTGTTGAAATAGCGCGTCCACTAGCCTTATGTTGGAATATGTTATTTGTTGATGCTGCACTTTTCGGGTTCTCGGTTGACGATGTGGCATTGGATAGGGAGAATAATCGGGAAATTGTGAAGGAAAGCTATTTCATAGATTTTTGGACATTACAGCCCCCGCTCAGAATCATTGTTCTATTTATGTGGAACTGATTTTGAGATGTGTGAATATTATGGTTTGATTGAATTTTTATTATTCTCTCTGGACGTAATCGTCTACTCAGCATTTTTATGCTGGCTTTGTTGTCTGGAGGAGGTGATCAGACAACATGGTTTCTGTGATATCGGTCATTGGGTTTTAGGTTACGTCTTATCTCCGGATGTCAGTCAGTGTGTCACTGTTCTCAGGAGGTGTTGGACGTCTTTTCCGAAGGATTTTCAAGAGTAAAATAGCTTAGAGGGTGTGTTAAGGGTGTGTTTTTGAGGGAGTTAGTCAGTTTTTTGCGTGACATGAGCTCGAGGGTGCGCACCAAGGTGGGTGTATTTTCTGATGTTTCATTTGGTATAGATTTATTTATTTATTTATATTTTGGTTCATGTGGATTATTATTATTATTTAGGGTCGTCGGATTCGTGGAGCTCCGAAGGAGTTGAGGATTTTGTTGTCCAGGTGTGATGGAAAGGGTCCGAATGGTGTTGAGGTTCCACGCGGGCTCTTACCTTTTGTGGGATTGGTTTTAGAGGAGGACCCTGATCTTTTCAAGTTGATAGACATTTTTAACGACAAGTTCTTCTTTGGGAAGGTCGGAGGGTATACTTTCAGGAAAACCTCTAGAAGGAAGGATACGTTTGGGTATACCGATTATACTGCAAAGGTTGTGACCTTTTCGAGGTTCATCTTTGTGCCTGGTTTAAGCCGATCGGTGTTAGTGAGAACAATTTTGCATGAGATGATTCACTGTTACTTGGACTGTATTGGAGCTGATAGAAATAAGAATGCGAATCACAAGGGGGTGTTCCAGAGGGAAGTTGCCCGTATCAATGCGGTGTTAGGATGTGACATTTTGGATGAAGGGGATGTGGATTGGGAGATATTACGGCCCTTGTCGATGGATAAACTGTTCGTTTGTAGTAGATGTGGGAGAGAGCAGATCCGAACTGTGAATCGTCCACCAGAGCCTGGGCCTTTCTTCCCTTGGTGTGCCCAACATCAGGCTGATTGTGGGGGTGAATTTATTTTAAGGTGATGGGTTCTTCTATTGTGATTTAGGGGTATCGAGATTTATTGATTCGGTTGGAAAACATTTAAAAAAATAATTTTGATTTATGTTTTTAGCCCGTCAAGTTAGCTTCATGTATTCTGCCATTGGTGAGGGTGAAGGTGGGGGATGGAATGGCGCACTATTTTTGAAATAGCGGGCCATAATAACTGGGATGATTAACGGATCGTAGGGGGCCAATTTTGGGGACTTTGGCCCTTTGTCGGCTAAGTATTGGCACATAGTCGGTGAAGTCTACATTAATTTCTGAGGTTTTTCATGAATGATTGATGGATTTGAATTATGGAGAGTGGCAGAAATAAACCGTTCATAGCAAATTTAAAAAGTAAGTGCATTATTTCGGATCGCGGTGTGGACATCCTCTAACATTAATTACCCATGATTATCCTACTTGCGCGGGGTGCTTCTTTATATTTTAAACCTATATCCGTTTTTCTTTTTGTTCGACAATTTGATAGACGAAGGATAATAATGAATGACAGTAAGGAAATTATATATATATATGTGTATATAAATCTATTAGTTCCGGGGCAGTATACATATACTGGAGGGAAGTGCACGTGCCCGTAAATATATATATATAGATATATATATAGATATATATATATATATATATATATATATATACATATATAGATGAAATTTTGGGTTCAAATTTATTTTTTTATTTTTTTATTTTTTTTTTACTTATCTGTTAAACTAATTAGACGTAGTTGATGGTCACTCCCGAGCTCAAGGGTATTTCTACGGTGGACCCTGGTGTGATTTCTTGAATTACTGGTGTAAGGGCTGGAAGTGCTGGTCTTGGTCGTCGGGTAGATATTGTAGGTATTGTGATGGTTGGTATCTCTATGTCCTCTAGTTGCTTGTCCCCGGATTTCTCGTTGATGGTTTTTGAGTTTGCTGGTTTTCTTTCGGGCTTGTTGTTTTTCTTGCAACAACAGTAACTCATGCAGGAGAGGATGTTGGTACCCTTTTTGTAAGTTATTATTCCTCCTATTATTGTTGCGATGGAGAGTATTCCGGTAATTCCACAGCTCGTGGCTGTAAAAATTTGGTGACCATATTCCTCTTGATGATGGAGGCCAATCTTCTCTGCAGTCTCGATAGTCTCTTGCATGGATTCGTCAAAGGTGTTAGAGCTGCTCGCATCTGGGATAAAATGGTGCTCAACATGGGGTAAGAGTTCAATCCTTTGGAGAGGAATTTTTTTTTTTTTTTTTAGTTTTCTTCGCAGGGTTTTAGGTTATTTGGGTGTTTCATGAACCGGTGACCGTCTTCATTCTCCAGGTAGACATTTCCTTTTGCAGTGATGTCTATAATCTCGTAGGGTCCAGTATATGCTTGGTCTAGTTTCCCTATCTTAGGTTCTTTTTCAACATAGACGAATTGACCAATTTTTAATTCCAGAGGTCTCGAGGTTTGATCATATATCCTCTTGGAATTTAATTTGGCTTTCTGGAGTTGTTGAAACGCAATCTCATGTATTTTGTCGAGTTTTGTGATCAACTCGATCATGTAATCTGAATATGTTTGTATTTCGCTGCGTTCTTCGTTGAAGTTGGAAGGGATGCTGGCTGGTTTCCCATAGAGTAATTCAAATGGAGTGAAGTTTGTTGCACTATGGATCGTGGTATTGTATGATAACATAGCGAACGGGAGGAGGTCGTCCCACTGATTGAACTCATCTGTGTATGCCTTGAGATATTCGGCAAGCACATGGTGGCTCCTTTCCAAGGCTCCATTGGATTGTGGTCTGTATCCGGAGGTAGTGAGGTGATGAAACCGTAAGAGTTTACTTAACTGGGCGAAGAGTTTACTTAGAAAGCTCGTTCCTTTGTCGGATAGAATTATTTTCGGGCATCCAAACTGAGCAACATATTTCGTAGCTAGTGCATGAGCGATGGTATGAGCTTTGATATCCCGAAGTGGAACAGCGACACAGTGCTTCGAGAAATTATCTTGGATTGTGAGAATGTGGCTATTCCCC